TCTACTACGAACACATCGACTTTGGTCTTTGATCCAAGCGGCCAGATTTTATTCACGATAACATGAACTTTAGCGACATGGGAAGCCGCCGATAGAAACTTTCCAACCAGAATTTCCTCCCACAGGGGAGCAGAACCTTCGATGATATCATCCGGGATATCGACTGTAAGAGAACCCTCAACCATGGATATTGATAGATCGTGCTTTGACAACCCTAATTTGTTTTGAACAATGGAAGAATAGAGCGGCTTAGCAGGAGGCTGCGAAGTCGTCTCTGGATCCGATGCTTCCTCAATGAGAGACACACTTGTGACAGATGGTTCCGGACAGATACTGATCGGAGGAGGTGGTGGAGATCCCGCCGGGGCCGCCATGCTTGCGGCAAACGAAACTTTGAGACCCAAAACCTTAATCGCTTTTCCAATCTCCACGCCACGTCAGCACGTAAAATTGTGATCATTAATCCAGGTCTCTTTCGTTATATGTTTCAATAAGAAACATGAAAACAAAAAAAAAACATCAAGAGTTATGAAACTAAACAAGTCGACCTAAATAAACGAAAAAGTTTGACACATCTTACCATTTGAAATCACTAAACTACTTTTTAAAATACCGACAAACATAAAAAAAATGCATTCAACTCCAAATGCAAGTGGAGTTTGTACTACTTAGGGGATTTTCTCCTCTCCAACTCTGTTTTTCTCTGCGATGTATTGGATTAAAATTTTAATTTCAAGTTTTTTTTTTGTCAAAAACGATTGAATCTATAAGGTGAACCAATTTGTTATATATATATTTTTTATTAAAAAATCATTAATTTGCTGCATGATTGAGAGACTTGGATAGAAGATAAATTCGGCTAAATTAGTTTCAACACCATCACTGGTATTTGAATTTCCATGTTCAAATTATTGGTTTGTCATATGTTTTGGGTGTTATTCATTTGTGTATTTAGAGCATCTCCAACCTATTACTCCATTTTTTACTCCATAAATGGAGTAACTTCATAATGGAGTTGGTTTCTCTCCAACTATATTCCATTTTTTACTCCATAAAGAATATTCTAGATATATTTTTTTTCCATTAAATTTATAAATTATTTGCAGATATACTCTTTTATTTGTCAAACTTATGAATTGAACCCAATAACTTTATTTTAATGATTTATATTCAATAAAATGAAAACTGTTATTTTTAATAAATTTTTTTTATAAATAAATATATTACATTACACAACATAATAAAAACAATAATAACTTAAGAAAATAATATAATTTAATTTAATTATCATCATTAGTATATTTTTCCCACAAATGATCAATTAATGCATTTCGAAGTGAAAAATGAGCTTCTTTATCTTTGATTTCTCTAAATCGAGCAAGAAACTCTTGGAATCGAATATTATCATCCTCTGCCAATTGAACCTCTGGAGGTGAAGCTTCTCTTCCAACTTCAATCGGAGCATCAAGATCACGTTCATCTTCGATTATCATGTTATGTAAAATTACACATGTAGTCATTATATCATGTAGCACATTCTTTTGCCAAAAACGAACTGGACATTTCACAATAGCAAAACGCGATTGAAGAACTCCAAATGCACGTTCTACATCTTTTCTACATGCTTCTTGTTGTGTAGCAAAATATTTCTTTTTCGGACCCCTTGGCTCATGAATAGTTTGCACTATGGTAGACCATTTTGGGTATATACCATCAGCCAAATAGTAGCCCATATTATATTATTTTCCTTGAATGATATAATGAACCGGAGGAGCAATACCTTGAGCGAGACTGGAAAAGAGGTGGGAAGACTCCAACACATTGATATCATTATTGGTGCCTGGCATTCCGAAATATGCATGCCATATCCAAAGATCATAATCTGCCACCGGTTCAAGAATTATAGTTGGTGATCCACTACGACCTGCATATTGTCCAGCCCAAGCGGTAGGACAATTTTTCCATTTCCAGTGCATGCAATCTAAGCTACCTAGCATACCTGGAAAACCTCGTTTTTCTCCAATGTGAAGAAGTCTGGCAACATCACTAGCCGTTGGTGATCTTAAGTATTGCTCTGAAAATATTTCCACGATGGCTCGACAAAATCTTTTCATGCTTTCAATTGCCGTTGATTCAGCTATCTTAACGTACTCATCTGTCGCATCTGCTGGTAGACCATACGCTAGCATCCGGAACACCGCTGTGACTTTTTGTAGAGGTGATAATCCAAGTCTTCCAACATTATCCCTTCATTGTGTGAAGTAGATATCATGACCTTCAACTGCATTAACAATACGAAGGAATAGAGAACGAGACATACGATATCTTCTGCGAAACATAATATCATTGTAAACCGGAGTCTCTGAGAAATAATCATTGAACAACCTACTATGTGCGCCTTCCCACTCGCGATGGATGAACGAACGTCCGGGAACTGAACCGCCATGGATCACCTGGTTATTTTGTTGGTTTAGAAGAAATTGGATGACTACATTGTTATTAGCAATTGCAAGATGTATTACTTCTTCTTCATGATCGAGATTATTGAGAATTTCCATATTATCATCATCAGAAGAAGATGATGAAGAAGATTGAAAATCAGAGAAATTTTCAGAATTAAAATTCATTGTGAAAAAGAAATTTTATTAGGAGTAAGATAGAAATTATATATGATATTGTGATGACTAACATGAAGTTGTAGTAGTATTTATAGAAATCTGATGAATGATTCTTAATTTTAGATTTTTTCTATGTTTTTTGTAGATGTAGGTATACATTTGATACATATTAAATGTAATAGTATGTGTAGCTGAAAAGAAAAGTTATGGATCATTTATTCAATATGTGTAGTTAGACTGATATAAATGTGAGAATTTAATGTAAAGCTCTTTGTGTAGTTGGATAGTCAATTTTATTTAAATTACGTAAGAAACCTTATAAAACCTTTACGTGTAGTTTGAGAGATGGATATGAAAATTTAATATAACTTTTATTTGTGTAGTTGGAATAATAAATATGAGGATTTATTCTTCAAGCATCTATAAATATGAGCATAGTTCTCTATTCTCATTCAAATATTAAATTATTCCTTCATATTTACACTTGATAAAAAATGTCTGTTCGTTCTTGTGGATATTCTCAAGAAGAAGACAAGTTTTTATGTCAAGTGTATATGGAAATTTCTCAAGATCCAATCAAAGGTGTTTATCAAACATCAGATGTATTTTGGTCTCGGGTGGTGGAAGCTTATGAGAGAGGAAAAAATTCAACTTGGAGTGAACGTACAAAAAAATCTATTCAATGCCGTGTTCAAACTATAGAGAGAGCAATAGAAAAACTACATGCATGCATCAAACAATGTGAAAATAGACGTGCAAGTGGAGCTTCAAACGATGATATTGTAAGTATTAATACATATAATTTTCCAATTGAGTTATCTTTAAAAAAAATAATTTCTTTATTTCAAAAATGATATGCAGTTCAATCAAGCCAAATTAATGCTAGCAGAAGATCCAAAGTTCAAAAAAGGTTGGAAATTTGATCATATTTGGAACATTATCAAAAAATTTGAAAAATTCAAAGATGGTGTCATCCATGCTAGAAGAGTCTCAAACCTAAGTGGTTTTGGGTACACATCTTCAGAGTCAGAAAATCCTACACCTGATACTACACAAGGATCTCCAGGTTTGTCTTCGTTTTCTTTGAACTTAGATGACGATGATGATAGTATTGGTGGATCTCCTTCTCAGCGACCAATCGGAGTTAAAAAGTCCAAATTGAAGAGAAAAAATGATGATCAAACATCTCTTATCATCAACACTTTAGAAGAAGGAAATAGGCAACTTGTGGAGCAATTGAAGAAGACAAGTGCACAAAAAGAATATCATCTAGAGATTCAAAATAAGAATTATGCACTGAAGAAACTCAAAGAAGAAAACAAAATTTTACTTAGGGACTTGAGTTCCATACAAGATCCAAATATCCGTGCATATATTGAAGCTGAACAAAGACAGATTTTACAAAACCGGGTTGATCAACAACAATCTGAAGAAGTTACCCCTCCATCTACTTCATTTGGACAATATTTTACTGATCTTGGTGCATTTGGAAGTGATTTGCCAAATTACTAATTTGTTGTTGTGTTTTATCTATTTTTATGTATTTGTAATTTTAAAGTTAATTTTTTGTTGTGTTTTGTCTATTTTAATGTTTTTATAATTTTAAAGTTAATTTGTTATTGTATTTTTCTTTTTTTATGTAATTTAAATTTTAAATTTTGTGTGTCATTGTATTTTTATTTATATATTTGTTATGGTTGTTTTTTAAAAAATTTTATAATCTAAAATAATTAGTTTTATCATTTATAATAAAACTTATATGTCAAAAATAACAAAGTTTTTGTTTAAGACTTATCTGATAACATATAATAGGTGAGGGATAAAACTATAAATAAAAAAGGGTCCACTCAAAAATAAAGGTGATGAATAGTGTCACTCCATATATAGAGGCATACTGTTCATATCTCCATTTTGGAGATGAAAATGGAATAGGGTTAGAGAGGATTTTACTCCAAAATGGAGTTTGGAGGTGGAAATGGAGTAGGGTTGGAGATGATCTTAGTTAAAATTTTCAAATAACAGTGGATTTTAGTTAAAATTTTTAAAAATATTTACAAAATTTAAAGATTTCAAAATCTAACATTGCATTTTCATTAAAATTTAGAAAATTATACGTTTTTTTGTTGGATAAATCTTTGCATTGATAGTTTAAAAATCTTTTCGAATCCATTAATATTCACATCAAAAATAAAACAAAATAATATGTCCAAGTTTAGGCCCAATGTGAACAATAATATTCTCGAAGGCCTTTAAAGGTCCGAAATATCGTAGCGTTCACATTACGCCGCACGGTAAAACGCAACTGATGAGGTAAGCACACCGAGCTCCAACGTGGCGTCCTCTATAATCCCCACGTGTCTTTCCCATTCTCCAACCACACTGAACACGGAGAAAGTAGCTGAATAACAAAATTTTGATTTTTGACTCTCTAAAATAAATATCTGTGAATAAAAAGAATCTTGTTTAGCAAATGTTGAGATCCTCATTTCGGCTTCTCTATATAAGAACCAATCATCTGGTTCGAGTTTCATCATCATCATCATCATTATCGCTTTCTCTGTTTCCATCTAAGTTCGATTCTGCGAAACCTCTTTTCAACTCTCATCGGATTCGTCCTCTTCCTTTATCGACAACGGGAGCTAAACTTTCTAGGTCTGAACATTCGATGGCTGCTACTTCCGAGCCTAAATCCGTCTATGATTTCACCGTCAAGGTTCGAATCCTTGTTTTCTCAGTCTGTAGTTTGAATTGTTTGATTCTTTGTGACTGTAGATGAATATCATGGATATATCTGTAGATTGAAGATTGTGATTGATTAGGTCCTTAATCATATCGGAGATTTTTGTTTGATGCTGGGATTTGAGATCCGATTATGAACGGTTTGAGTCTAAATTGAATTTTTGCGATTTGTGATTTCTTAGGATGCGAAGGGAAATGATGTTGATTTAAGCACTTACAAGGGGAAAGTTCTCTTGATCGTGAACGTTGCTTCTCAGTGGTAATTTTCATGTTTTTCTTCACTCAATTTCAATTTTTGTAAGTTGGAACAAACTGCCTAGGTTTATTTGTTAGTGACTGAGTAAGTTTAGTAAATGTTTTGGTATTTTTTTTCGTGCAGTGGCTTGACTAATTCGAACTACACTGAGCTTGCGCAGCTGTATCAGAAGTACAAAGATCATGGTATAATTTGATTACCAATTGTTTCGTTTGTTCGTTTTCGCTGTAGAATCAAAACGTATAGGATTATGATTGTGTTTCTTGATGTCACAATGTTTCAGGGTTTGAGATCCTTGCATTCCCGTGTAACCAGTTTGGTAACCAAGAACCTGGCTCTAATGAAGAGATTGTTCAGTTTGCTTGTACCCGTTTCAAGGCTGAGTACCCAATATTCGACAAGGTAATCACTTTTCTTGTTCTTGACTGCAAAATGCATGATATGAGATAGCACCATTCAATTGTTTACTATCTGACATGAATCACATGTTACATGAGAATTCTGCAACTTCGTATACTATTGGTTATATGTTACTGAATCGTATTCATATCATAAAGTTGTTTGTTTCTTGATTGTTAGTTCTGTTCTTGGACTTGATGTCTAGCTTTGCACTATGTAATGCAGGTTGATGTGAACGGTGACAAGGCTGCCCCAATCTACAAGTTTCTAAAATCAAGCAAAGGCGGGCTTTTTGGAGATGGCATCAAGTGGAACTTCGCTAAGTTCTTGGTTGACAAAGATGGAAAGGTCGTTGACCGTTACGCGCCAACTACATCTCCTCTCAGCATCGAGGTAATGTTTCACATATAATCATAAACTTAAGTTTTGATTTAGAGACCCAATTGTTTCTCTAATTTGTGTTCATTGTTAATCCGCAATTGCAGAAGGACCTGAAGAAAATGTTGGGAGTTACTGCTTAAGCAAAGGAAATATCAGTCAAATAAAAGTTTGTAGTATTGTATTGCCAATACTGTAATAAGCTCTGTCTGAGTTCTTGAGTGTATTTGGGATTAGTTGTTTCCTACTACTTAAACACGTCATTAGTAACTAATCTATGTGATATCATAGATCTAAATATCAGATTTCCCTTTACTGTATACTGCGGTTTCCGAAGAAAACAAGAGACGAATGCTATCAAACCAATTTGAGAATGGAGTGGTGTGGGAAACGAAATATATTTTGTATTCATAAAATCCGATAAAATCATTCAATTTTATAGAAAACCATTCAATCGCCAATCTCAAACTTGTCGACTTTGACCATCATCGGCTGCGAAACTTGGGAGGAAAATATGTAAATGTAAAAGAAGGTTTAAAAATTCTGATGGAAATCACCAAATTTAGTAATATTGTCCCGACAAATTTGTTCTTCTAATTATCTCTCTGCATTGAAGACGAGGATCTCATCATCGCTAGTTCGCTACTGAGAGGTAATCTCATATACTCCTTGGAAGTTGGAAACCAAGCAACCATTTTGGTGTTAAAATATCAAAAAGGTTGCATTATGCCTTAATGTATTTTTGGTTTTGGAATTTTAAAAGCTTGTTTGATTGTTTTTTTTTTTAAGATTTGAATTTTATATAGAAATAAATTTAAGGTCCACACAGCCCATACATGGCCCGTTTTGCGATAGAATCTGCAACAACATTTGCAGTTCTGGAAATAAACATAAATTTGATAAAATCAAACAAAGGAAGACAGAGGGCAATATCAGAGAGAATACCGTGAAATTCCGAGATTTGTAGGCTGGAGCTGATCACTTTGATTGCCTGTTGAGAGTCCGATTGGATCATCACTTGTTTGAAGTTTGCCGCTTTTGCATGTAGAATTGCTGTCTTTATCGCTAAGAACTCAGCCATCAAGGGAGAGCCGACAAAACGGTGAGAATCTTCGAATGGAGTTGGTGGATTGTGCCTTCCCCTTATCGAGATACCTATCCCTGCAGCTAGCTGATCTCCTCTCCAAGCCGCATCGGTAGAAATGATCACCAACTTCCTCTCCTGAGTGAGGGTTTGAGTAGATGTAGGCCCGACTCGCATCTGGGATTGTGGAGAAGGAGTTTGTGAGATCTGCGCTAGAGTCCATTCCCTCGCCGCACATACAGCTTTCCTGGCTGTCTCCTCTGCTGGGATGGACCGATTTTCAAAAACTCGGTGGTTCCTTGAGGTCCAGAGATACCACATAATCCAGGGGTAGAGGTAGCCTTTGTCTAACCCACACGGTGGGAGGGTAAAGTTTCTTTTAAGCTCAGTCAGACCGGCTACAGTTGTCTCGACATCAGTCAGTTTAAATTCTAGTGCCCATGGGATTTGTTTCCATACTTCGACAGCATAGGGGCAGTAAAACAGGAGATGGTTAGTCCCAATCTTCCGGCTTATCTGAATAATTCATGAAATAAACAGTAAAAAAATCAATGAATGATGCCTTAATTTTTCTTCTTGTCACAAAAAAAAAAAAAAATGTACATCATTATCTAATATTTCAACTTTTAGCTAAAAATAACCAAATATAACTATGACTTGTTTTTTTTTGTCCAGAAACAAAATTAATGCAAAATCTTTATGACTTAATCTTATATTTAGCTAATACATCAATGGAAATCCAACTTCAATAAATTTTGCTAAAAAACTAAAGGAAAAGAAAAGAAAATGTAGTAAACTTGCCGTTGAAAAAACTCGAGCCTTATCATATATTCATATGGCTTCTTGACCAAAAAATAACTTATTCCCTAAGAATTCATAATTCTTATAACAGAGAAGGAACTTGCTTTCGAGAGAATCTGCAACTGTAAGAGATTTATCATTAAAAAATACTACAATTGGTTTATCATTTGTCTGCTTGGGAAAGAAAAAATTTGAAGTGTCAGACAAACGGAATAGTGTGTATAATTATGGAGCTTGCATGCTTAATGGACACTATAAAATCATTTTTTTAAAAACAAAAATGTTTTTCTTCCTTTTTTTTCTTGTTCAAGCTCTAATGTGGATGCAAGAATTTATCTATCAAAAATGTTTTCAACCTCTTTTTTCTCTCATTTGTCTGAATGTAGTGGAAACGTGATGGATAAAGTAAACAGCTCAAGAAAGTTTCAAAATGTGCAACTCTGGACAGAGAAAAAATGGTTCAAAAAAAACTCTGGACAGAGACATACTTGCCATGACCTTACGAAGGGAACTTCACGCGTCTGAATCTCTTGGTTCTTTGCCTCACACAACAAAACTCTATGGAACACCATCGATCCAGCGAAGTGTAAGAAGTTAATTTAGAGGAGACAAATATTGCAATATAACAAAACGATTAGAGACACAGAAAAACGTTTTATAAAATCGGATTAAGGAAAAACGAGAAGTGGAGGCGAGATGATCTCTTTCCTTAATTCAAAATATCTCCCGCAGTGTGACGGTTAGATGAGATAATGAATCCCATGATACAACCACTAGTATTCGTATAATCGCAGCACCCGATTATAGAATGTGACGAACTAATATTCTACGATATACTCTCGGACACTTACTCTTGAAAGAAGAAAAGAGACGCAGTCTCGAGAGATTGAGGAAAGTGTGAACGACTTTTTGTCTGTAAATTTTTGAGGCAGTGAGTGAAAATGGAAGAGGAGAAGTCAATATATATAGCAAAGGAGAGAGGAGCGTCGCACTTAATCAGCGTGTTAATAACGTGATTAATTATGCACTAATGATGCGATTTGGGCGTTAATCTTGGCGTGATTTTCGGGATAGATATTTGACTGTAGATTAATGTCATGATTCTGTCAAGAATTTGAACTGAAAACTTTAGAAATTTGGGCCAGAAATGTTGACCCAAGACCCAAGACCCGAGACCCGAGACCCGAGACCCGAGCCCGAGCCCCACTCGGCTCGGCGGCGGCGGCGGGGCGCGAGGGGTCCTTGGTTCTCCTTCACACACTTTGAACTATGTCATGTGTGTGTCTATATTTATATGACTCAAAAAAATTTCAATCCTCCAATGTGAGACAAAATGATGTTCCTCACATTTTAAGTTACCTTGAAGGGCTTTATTTTCATTCACACTTAACCAAATTTTAAAGCATTTGGGCTTTGTAATAATTTGGGTCCAACAATTCCCTACATGAATAGAAATAACTCTAAACATACGACCGGACTGACTCGATAACTTGACTAGACCAGACGGACTTTCGAGAGTATAAACGAAAATTCCACTGTGTTTGAGATAGTAGTATGTTTCAACCTTGAACCACTCAATGTTAATATCTGTCGGGCTTACTCAGCCAGGAGGTGAACATGATGTCTTGAACCACCCAGATTTTGATGTAAACCGAGACAACAAATACAATCCAGTTTCATTTTCTCGTAGAACTAAGTTCTCTATTGTGTTCATTTTGGCCTTGAACTTGCCTGGTGAATCATGAGTGAAGTTGGAGAATATAGCCTGTTGTTTTTCCATTCTCCTAGAAACGGTCCCATTTCACACTCACTAGGTGATTATGCCAGTAGTCTTTGTTTTAAGAAGTGTTGTACTTCACTGATATATCAAAGCTATGGTCTTATCATTAAAAGCTATGCTTATTCTTTGTAAATATACAATGAAAAATTGTATGTAAGCACTGTCAATCATCTTGGGACCTAGGTTAAGACTATACGTCTTTCAGTGCGTTAGATTTTGTTTGATTTAGTTTTCTCTTTTGAACCATACATCTTGGGATCTCCAGTCATGTAGGTGGGGTTTCCATCAAACAACCTCTTTAGTCATAGGCTTTAAACCCATTCCCTTTGATGACTTGAGAACTTGATCACGAGCTAGACCCTTAGTGAATGGATCTGCTAGATTATCAGCTGATTTTATGTAATCTAGTGAGATTACTCCGGTTGTGATCAAACTTTTAATGGTTTTATGTCGCCTTCTTATGTGACGAGATTTACCATTATAGAGATTATTCAGTGCCCGGGCGATAGCTGATTGACTATCACAGTGTACATGTATTGCCGGGACTGGTTTCTCCCACATTGGAATATCTTCCATGAAATTTTGGAGCCTTTCGGCCTCCTCTGCAGCTTTGTTTAAAGCTATAAATTCAGACTCCATGGTTGATCGGGCCAATAGAGTTTGTTTGGAAGACTTCCAAGAGACTGCTGCACCACCCAGGGTAAAAACATATCCACTTGTGGATTTCGAGTTTTTGGTGTCAGATATCCAGTTTGCATCACTGTATCCTTCCAAAACGCTGGTTCTCTTCCATAGTGCAACCCATAACTTTTAGTGTATCGAATGTAATTTAATACTCTAGTTATGGCTTTCCAGGGTTTGTGTCCTGGATTACTTGTATAGTGACTTAGTACATTTACCGCGTGTGCTAGATCAGGTCTAGTACAATTGGTTAAGTACATAAGGCTACCAATTATTCTTGCATACTCTACTTGTGACACTGCTTCACCTGAGTTTTTGGTCAAGTGAAGTTGAGAGTCAACAAGAGTTTTTGCAGTTCCATTTGAATGTTTTAAACCGTTCAAGTATCTTTTCAGCATAATGTGCTTGAGACAAGGTAATCCCATCAGAAGTTCTTGTGATTTGTACCCCGAGAATGACATCTGCTAGACCCATGTCTTTCATGTCAAATTGTGCACTAAGCATGTTCTTAGTTTGTTGGATTATGTCATTATTGCTGCCAATAATTAACATGTCATCTACATATAAACATAGTAAGATATATCCATTAGGGGTCGTTTTTATGTAAATGCATTTATCACATTCGTTTATGCTGAAGCCATCTGACATCATCGCATTGTCAAAATTTTCATGCCATTGTTTTGGTGCTTGTTTAAGTCCATACAATGACTTCACAAGTCTACAGATTTTGTGTTCTTGTCCCGGGACTACAAATCCTTCGGGTTATTTCATATAGATTTCCTCGTCTAATTCACCGTTTAGAAAGGCTGTTTTGACGTCCATCTGGTGGATTTCCAAATTTCTTAAGGCTGCAATTCCAATCAGCATTCTGATGGAAGTTATTCTTGTTACTGGAGAATAAGTATCAAAGAAATCCAGACCTTCTTTTTGTCGGAATCCTTGCACTACAAGTCTAGCCTTATATTTATCAACTGAG